TTATTATTATTATTGTTGCCATCTTTATACTTTCGTCGTCGTCACTGTGGAACGCCGAGCACTTGATATTATGGTACGAAGTGCAGTGACGTTTATTACACGGGGCGGAATGACCTAAATCCGTATTACCGTATTTACTCTTCGTATATTATAATATATTACGAGCACACGGCCATGCTATATATCATCATGCGTCTCTGTATATTATATTGTCGGGAAGGGGTGGGGGTGGGGACGTGAGATCGGTAAATTCGCGCCGAACGTCTGTCGCGCGATTAAGAAATAACATAATATTATTATTGTAATACGCGCTCGGTCGACCGAGTATTATTGATGGCTGTTTAACGTACATTTAATGGGCTTGTAAAAGGGCGTGTGAAAACTGTTGCAAGACGAACACAACAGTCGTCGTAATATTATAATGGTATACAATACGACGCCGTACGACCGCGACGGTTCGGTGTATTAATCTTGTTGTGCCGTAGAACAACCAAAAAATAAAATAAAACTGTTGGAAAAAATCGTATCAAATTCGTGATTAGACTTTTGACCCGAAAACGAACATCACTCGAGCGGGTTTTTCGTATGATTATGTACTGCGGAGGTGATAATTGATTGTTTACCTATTTTAAACGCGGTTTACGAAACTGCAGATGTATTAAATTATATAAACGGGTTAAGATTTACGAAAATCTGTAGTTTATCTAAAATGAATATTTAATCCTATTTATTGGATACGAATCGACTTCGATACAAAACCATGCAGGGTATTGCAAAAATTAACTACTACCACACGTCATCAAAACAGTATTTTTATAGGCACGATTATAAAAATGAGCTGATAGAAGTAACTTTCAGTTTTGATTTTTTTCTTTGTACATAAAGTTATAAGTTATTAAAGTTGTATGAAAATTGATTTGTTCTAGTAAAATTATCAAACATGTATGAAACAACCTTTATTATAATTTATTCTATTCTTGAAAATTATAACGCGGTCAAAGTGACCGCGGTGCGACGAACGGCGTAATGTACACAGCCGGGTTAACAGTTACAAAACTGTACAAATATTGAAATATCTAAGTAATAACAATACAATATATTTATTGCAATGGGCATTCTGCGAAAGGTTAGGGTCGGATCAAAAAACCATTACAAAAATGTATACTAAACAAAATGATGTGTGTTATCAATGCATAAATAATAGTGGGACAAATAGAAAATGGTATACTTTAATAATATTTTATGTTGATGACATACGCCTGTGAAACCTGGCCGTTGACTAAAGGTGATGGCAGAAAACTTATCACGTTCGAAAGGAAAGTGTTACGAACCATATTATATGGACCAATCTTTAACCCAGAAACACAGACATACGAAAGAAGAAGTAACGAAAATGTAAAGCTTCTTTATAGTAAGCCAAACATACTCTCTTTTTGTAGGAAAAAATGATTAGAATGGTTTGGATGTGAATGGAAAGCAGATGGACAGTTAATTAAAAATGTACTAATCAATAAAATAAATAAAACAAGATCCCTAAGTCGACTCAAAACCCGATGGATTGACGTAGTTGCCAAAGATATAGTAATGTTAGACCCGAACGCAACTTTAGAAAAAGCATATCTGAGAGGCAGATGGAAAGATATTTTGATGGCAGCGATGGCCCTGAATGGACCGCTAAGCTGATGAAGAAGAAGAAGAAGGTTGATAATTATTAATTTTGTAACGATGAATAGCACACATCGGATTAGACCACCCGGTGAAAAAGTTTGCTGCTTTTACAGGTCTGGTGAAAACGGATAATATTACACTGAAACGTATGAGGTGTAGGCCCTCACAAATAATTATGTATTAGAGTCCACAGACCATAGTGCAGCGTGGAGTTCGGCGGGATCGCGTATAACTGGAATGTAAAAATTTGGACGGTACAAATCTGGGGAGTACAAATATGGAGTATACAATTTTGAAATCCGTAAAAATGTGGTGGTGTTGCATAGCAAGTCGAGGGATATTATGTATCACGTATCTTCGTTTTTTTTTGTCCGGGCGCAGAGCAGCGTGGGTATCCATTGTCCAGATTTATGCCTTCCAGATATAATATACATTCCAGATTTGACCGTCCGAGTCTTTATACGTTCCAGAACCGTCAACTATACCGTCCAGATCGTCCCGCAGATTTTTAGATTCCAGGTTTTTACAAAAAAAAAAACAACCAAGCCGATGTAGTCGATGTACTCGTCTACACAATATCACAATAAAATGCTAGGCAGTAAGCTAGCTGTGCAGGTTGCCGAACGTCCGACCAAGCGACACTGGACGAGATCGTCGAAACAACAGCCGATACGCATGCAATACAAGCGGGGAATCGCATGAAAGAAAAATGAAAATCAAACGTTTATACATAATATATAATATTGGTAGCTGTGTACATATGGGTTTTCCGCCGAAGTATACATCGATACAACAACGATCATCGTCTAATTGTAAGATACTCGTTTTATCCGAACCGACCGAACCCGTATTACATTAATATACACGCGCGCGCATAGAATATTCGTGTGATTAGATGAATGGTTATTCCAAAACAGTCGTTCCGTATTTTATTGTCGTCGGCCGGTCGATCGTGCATCATGTTAGGGGGCAGCCTCGGGCCCATCGCCGCCGCCGCCGTTGTGTCGGTTATCAATTTATTTTGGCAACAGCGAACACGAGCCCGGAGGGACTGGAACTGATGTGTGCACAATAATCCGCCGGTTGGTTAAACCGGAAGGGGCAGGGGGAAACGCGACCAGCGCATATAATAATATTGCACACACAAGTATACCGAGGTACATGTATATATATATCGATATGTTTATACGTCATATTGTGTGCGCGTGTACTGTATATAATATGTATTTCGTTTGTTATTCCCCGTACAGCTGATGCACTTGAAATCTGCAAAAGTCGACTTTCCGCTACCTACGCAAAACATTCGTGTGATATAATATCGGCTTCGTGGCGGGGGCATTTTGCCGTCGTAAAATACGAGTATTGTTTGAATTCAGGAGGAGAATGATCGACGGGTTTGGAAGAGTGACGGCGGTGGTGCAAGAGGCGGCCGGCGACCCCATATAGTGTAATATTGTAATAATATAATATGCGCTGTCCGTATGCGTGGGCGGCGAGACGTGGTGGGAATCGAAATCATCGATGAAAATCCGAAATCGTTGCGTTCGAGCTTATTTTTTTCGTTTTATTAGACAGCGCAAATACGACGTATACGTCGACATACACTGGTCTGGTGAATTATTCTACGAATACATTGTTTACTTTATGAGTGGTATTTTAGTTTTATCGAAATCGCGTAGGCATTATAAATTATTACAAACAGACCTCTTGCAGGTGTTATGGGCGTGGTGATGTATTCAGGATTGAAAACGTTAACCCGTCTACTCCATAATTCCCAGTCGATAGTCGACATACTCGTATTGTACCTATGCCTACCAAAAAAAATGTATATAAAACACGTATATGATATATATTAATAGATAATATTATATATTTATATACAAATATAATACCTACATGGCTGTTGAAAGCAAACCATTTGTAAGAGGTCACATTGGACATTTTAAAATCACCACAGGAGGCACCTCTACTTTATGCATAATGACTGAATCATTTATAAATTTATAATACGTATGATCGTTGATTTCATCATATTACAGTGGTGCGATGTCTCAATACAACTACCTATTTTTATATGTTTTAAGCAGAACACTAAAATCTGTCTGCATATCTCTTCCCGTTATTGTATAAATAATTTTGTCTATTAGCATAATATTGCAATATGGTTCGAGGTACCTATCATGAACTCGTAATTGTGTAAAAACTACTCTAATTGTAGCTACGGTGAGTGGTGTGTACCGAGTGGTGACCCACATATTATTATTAAATACGTATTTGAATGTTAATTGTTAGTGGCTTGTTCCCTATCTGGCTATCTATCGTTAACACGCACACACACACACACACACACATCATGAATTTATTTAATATAATTTATATTTTTCCAACAATTATTGACTATAAATAATATAATTTTCTTAACATAAACGTGGTCTAATTCTCCGTAGCCGAATTCTCGAAAGTTTTTAATTTTGAATGCGCAAAGCTTATCTGATACTTACGTCTATAATAAAATTATGAACTTGTACCTAATATATTCTATTAAATGTTATTAATATTATATTATATAGTGTTATAATTGATCCTATGCGGATTCCTTCGCAACCTAAACGATAATACTGTTCGTTGAAATATTATAAATCACGTGTAATAGTAATAATAATATGTTATTGGGCTATTATTGTTATTTAGCCATGGCTTTATCAGCCGTATGATGTAGGTAAATAATAATCTCAAAATGTTTACAGCGAGCTAAACTTACACGGCAAGTACAATAATTATTAATACGCGTATTGGATTCCACGAACGGTCGCTGGAAGGAGGGGAGGTACCCACCTTGGTAGCACCGCGCCTTAGTCGCATTAGTAAAATAAGATCGTAAAGTGAAATGAAATATTATTATCATCTAGTTATTAGATCGATAAGGTACGATAACAATACAAATATTATATGGAACCGTCGAAATACCTGTTTGGTCGTCGGATCACACAACACGCGTTTGTACGATAATATTATACAGGGTGACATTTTTCCCAATCGCGAACCGGGCAATAATATCGTGTCTGATAAAATTCCCTTTACTTTTGTGAGTGGAAAAATGTCAATCCACGCGACGAATTAACAGCCGTAAAACGGTTCGGCTCCGAAATCGTACATTGTGTATCATTAATATCGTTGTAATTATTATTATTATGAAATACCTCGTTGCCGTGTATCTCGTCTGGATAAAATAATATTATTTGCAAAGGTAAGAACATAACCACTCTGTACGTACCGCGTACTGTTATTATTAGCGACTGTTTTTATCTACTAACGTTACCTTGTAATCGGATTTTACAGCATTGGTTTTCACTGTTTTCAGTGAGGTCGGTCATTTTAGTCGTCAAAACCCCGTCGGCGGAACAAGGTCGAGGTTGAGACAAATGTGAGTATCGCAATCATTAATATAAAATTGTTTAATACGTTATTTTTATGTGGTTTGCGTTCGTCGTTAGAGTCAACTGCAGTCATTGCCAAAGACGGTCCTTTTGGTTTTACCGTCATTTCGCTTCGTTGACCAAACAGGTGTTTAATTGGCTATTCGTTAAACGCGACACGTGTATTATTTAATAATATTATAATTACTCCAATCGTTCGCCATGCGATTTGCACAAGTACAATATTCGAATAATTTAAATATAAATAATTTAATTATATAAAATATATTATTATAATACCTACGAACAAGTCCGTCCAGTGTTAGGGCGGCACACGCAATTCCTAACCGTTTGTTTTCTCGGTGATTTTGTCGGAAACATTATTTTAGAATCGAATAAAAGTCAGTTATAGTTATAGGTGTGTGTACGGAGCCAATATTTTATTCGGTCAACAAAAATAGCCGATGGCAATTGATAATGTTCCGATGGCAATAATTATTATCGTCTACACAATCGTCGCGAACGACTGCTAGACGTTGAAATGCTTCAAATTAAAATTCTTTTCCGTGGTTGAAAATCCCGTCATAATGAATCCTAATAAACATCAATGAACTGGTTTTTGGAACAATTAAATGACCCCTCTGATAAAAACGTTTGGAAAGGCCGACGAGACTCGTAGTGTCCGAATTTGTCACACTCTTCTTTTAAGTAATTCTATACGTTTCAATTAGACAGATTTTTATTATTTTTTTTCCGTCTGCACTAACGCGCGTTTCTATTATTATTGAATTAAATATGACCGGATGTAGATCGAATTGATAATTAAGAAGACGACCGTTAAGTTTGGGGCAAGATCGTAATTCTTCACGTCAACATCATGGCTTAAATATATATAATGATATTATGTGCACCGGCTACACGCAATATTTTACGGGAACGCTATTCATTTTTATTAAACTTTTGTTTTTACATACTTATTCAATTAGTTTTTATTTATAATCAATTGTCAAATATAGTTCTTAATACAAATTTATACATTTAAACGCCATCCTATTCCTAGGACTTGGATTGAAAATATTGGCCACTAAATGTCAAACCTCCGTCTCATTAAAATACCTTGTATACCTTCAACGACTGTTTTACAATCATATGCTGTTGTCTTATCGTATTTTATTTAAATTGTTTTTACATTTTGCATAGAGAAAAAATTTCAACTATACTCCAAGAATCAATTATTATTTGATAATTATAATTTGATATTATAGACTCATATGTTCCAAAAAACTGAGAAAGTCGATCTGCTGTATAGTAGGTGTCCATTGTTCCTGGTAATTGAATACGTCACTATATGAAATGTGTCAAATTTGAATTTAACGATCAATCGTCGTACCTACCTGGGTATACGTTGAAAACCGATATCGAACGAAGACTATCTTGTCAGCCGATATTTTTAATTTTTTAGGGATAAGTTAGTGTTCAAATATTTTATATTGCCATATTAGTCTATTAGTCATTTCTATTTCTATAAGTAACTTATACGATAGCCGTCGTAGGGCTGAAGTATTTTCAAAAACGAATTGATTATCTAATATTGCTCACTGCTAACTTAACTCAAAACCGAAGTACCAAATTTAACAGTGTAAATCGGTTCATATTCTTCGAAGTGATAAAAAGTTTTAAGTCTATAAAGAAATAATATTTGTTTAATTGTTTTACAACAAAATTACTAAAAATCGTTACTTTTCGTTTAAATATCCAATCTCATCAAACTTCAAACATGAAATGTATGTAAAAAATAAATGACTATAAATAACTTAAAATGTCATGTGTATAGACCTTGATAATTTAAGTACCTAATAGTGGAATGTTTCGAGATTCTATACATTTGACAGTTAATATTTTGTGATAGCTTTATAACAAAATAACTTATATCGTTTGAGGATAAATCGTTAAACTTAATCGATTGAATATCCAGTGTCGTCAAAATTTGAACTTCTATCGCTTATAAAAACATGTATTTCGCTTTATACGGTAGCTATTTTTTTCACTAGACTACAGAATATTTAGAAATCAAACAGCTAATTCTCAAATAAATTTTACTTCAAATTAAGAATTAGATTTTTGTCTATGATAGCTACTACTTCTGTAATCAGTTTCAATTATAACTGTTAGTGTTATCGATGTTCTTCCATCTTTGTTTTGAAATTGTTCGAATTGTATTAGAATATTTTTTTATTACTTTTTTCCGGTGTAAATTTTGAGTTTTCTTTTGTCCTACTTGTTATACTGGGAATGTTTCTTAATTAATTAGTATACTTTTTAATAAGTTGCTTGATAATAATTTATAAACCTAACAAAAAAAGGCATCTACTTTGGCTATCAAAATGGAAATTTGAATTACAAAATTACTTTTTTAATGACAATGCATTTAATGTACTAGGCGAATAGAAATCCAAGTTCTCTAACAAATGTTATATATTTATTTAAATTCATATGTTGTAATATATATTTGATAAATAGGTTTAAGAATGCATAAAACACCACTAGCGTGAAACGTAAAAACTGAAAAAGCATGATTTGAATTTTCAAAATTTGTGATTAGGCTACTTTTGCTCCCATAGCCTGTGAGATAAAAATGTTAAGTAAACAATTAATTATGATTCTAATTATTTTTTTTAGAAATAAGCCTCTGCTATTGGCTGACAATTGACATTTTGTACATAATATTAGTTTTTACAATTTCTCAAGATTCCAAGTACAGTCAGTCAGCTAATGTAACTATTAAGTATATTTTATATTACGTTTTTTGATATTGAAGTAATTTATTTTAGTATTAGTATTATGGTAGGTTGATTAAATGTTTGCTGAATACATTTCATATTTATTATTTAGTATTTAGTGCATTGTATTTACCATATATACCAAATTACCAACCAAATTAAATTTTTTCCAAAAAATATAAAATAAATACAAACATTAATGTCACATAAAATGTATAACAATGTTTACATGTTTATTATTTTGTATAATATTTATCAATCCGTATCATGCATATCACGACATCAGAGTTCACTGGATAATCGGAAACAGGAGGATGGATGTACTAAAATCACAATGTGTTCACTTTGAAAATGGTTGAACTGAATTATACAGGGCATGCCTCAATTCATTTTTATAATTACATTTATTTTAAGATGTATATTTCTTGTTTAATAGTGATAAACTGTCGAAATGGAAATAGCAGATTTTTAATATTCATTACGGAAAGTCCAAATTCGATTAGTTGTTACTTGTTGAGTTTAGGCTATCAATTTGGTGGTAATAATCTGTACTCATAGTTGTTTTATTCTTATACAGTTAATGCTTATTAAATTAATCAAAAGTGGGTATTACAACTAGTTTAAACGTTACATTTTTACAACATTTAAACCCAACTAGTTATTTAATTTTCTAAATAACTTAAGAACTAGTTTAATTGACTGTTAAATTATATTGAAAGTTTTAAATAAATTATAATATTATATAAATATAAAAATAATCTATTAAATCAAAATAAAAAAGCGGGTAAGTACCGCTCTGCTGAATATTAGGTGTCTAGAGGAGGTCGCTGAAATGGATGGTATTAAATTCAAATTTAATGATATCAAATCATTTTATATTAAAAACTATTCTAAGCGGTGACTGTATGTCAGTTTAGGATATTTTATATTGTTATTACTATTATTATTAATATGGTAGCCGGTAAGTTGAATTAATGTTATTCTTAAATTATCAGTGATAGCGGAAGAATATTAAATATACCTATGTAAAATTGGGCTGTTTTGGAACCGAATTACAACAAAATGATAAATGTTATGCTTTGTGTAAATATGAAATTTTGTCAAAATTTGAACTTATAATGTCTGTAAAAAATGTCTGTATTCATATATTTCTTAGATTTCATTGTTGTGGAAAAACTGCTTAAGTGGAACCTTGTTTGACATTTTCAATCCTTAGCTATGAAAATTGAAAATTGTATAGTTTTTTAACTAGAAAATCGTTATCAATTTTTAATTTGATAAATATTGTTAACAATTTAAGTACCCACATAAAAAAAAAATCGTGCCTATGTATTTTTATTATTTTTCAACTGCTATTGTAATAAGTTATCAAGGGTATTCTATTAAATGTTCATGCTTTTTTACCCGACCAATAAAATTGTATTGGCATTTATAGAAAAAAAAAATGAAAACTAAAAATGTCTGTCAACAGCTTAAAACAAGTCAAAATATTTTGAAAATTTTATCAAGTTTATGAATTGATGAAATAAACATTTGGTGTAAATTTCTAGTGTCTACAGTAATTCGTTTTTGAATTACAACAAAATAAGAAAACCGCTACAAGAGAAATCCAGTGAATATACAATGTTGAAAAAATTCAAACTTCCAACACTTATAAAAATTTAATTTGACTTTCCGGTGGAAATTTTTTTTGATAAATGTAGACAAACTTGTAAGGAATCTTGTATTAAATTTTTAAATCTTAGATATAAATAGAAAAATATTTATGAATTTCTAACTAAACATAATTTGCCAAATTTAGTGATTTTTACGAATTTTGTCAAAATTCTAAGTTTTAACTCTCATAAAAAATTATTGTGGATTTATTCTCAATTTTTCTTTTAATTTCCATTTACAACAACTTACAAGGAACCTTGTAACACATTTTCAAGTTTTTTGACAGAGCGAAACCAATTTTATCGACTTGAGCTTAAAAAAAACAAATAATAATCAACAATTTCATATGCCTACAAATAGTTCAACGCAAACCAAAATATTTTGAAAATATTATGGTATATAGAAAATGCTTACACAAATATTCATGGAAAATTTCATGAACTTACGGTCATTTTTGTTTGAGTTACACTAAAACTAAAATCGATTTTTTCGAAAAATGTTTTGCATAAAAAATCCTGCTTTTCCTTAATTGTTTGTTTGTTTTTCCTGTTGCTTTTGAAAATTATTAGGAATTTTAAATTTCGACCTCCCAAATGCACCATCTAGGTTCACTTTCCTACCAGAAAAGTTGCTGTTGAAGCAAATCGGAGCACTTTTACTGCAAGAAACCGTTATGACAGACACAAAAAAAAAAAATAAATATAAAAACACACATCATTGTAAAATCAATACATTCATCGCTTCGCTCAGAATCTAAAATGTTGTTAATATTTTTTGATTTTAATGATGGTTTTATACATTAATTACTGCAGTGTACCAAGTTTCAAATATATAAATAATCTAATAATATTTATGTTTTTGTTTCTTGATAAAATAATATTTTACATATTGTAGGTAGATTGGGATAAAATACTTTTTATGTGATCTTCAAACTAATTTAAAAAGTGGATTATAAAGGTACTTACAGATTATAACTTGCAGTTATTTATCCTATAAATTAAAAGTCAACATTTATTCCATATTAACTTTGAACTTAGCAATTTAAATGTATTACTCGTTAACTATTGACTTCTGACTTTGAGTTGATTATTTTCATAACTTGCCCCCCCTCCCCTACTTTTGGATAAAATTAACTTGTACACCATGTAGCCGATCGGTTCGGTGTTTGTGTTAGTGTGTGCAATAATATAATGCGTTCATGTTCCATTTGACAGACGATGTTTAGACTTACTGTTGGACTGTAACATGCAGAAAAGCGTGGTGAACAAAGCGTTTTACAAAGCCGGGAGACGAGACAACGTTATACTGATGAACAAGCTGCTCAACCGCGGAGCGAACATAGATTACAAGGACGCGTCGACGGGGTTTACGGCACTGCTGCTGGTCACGAAGAAAAGGAACTTGAGGGCAATACAGTTCTTGCTGGAGAAGGGCGCCGATCCCATGGAACAAGACCTTAACGGGTAATTATCATTCGAACGCGGTAAAAATGGCGTGTACATTGTGTAGTGTATTTATTTATTTTTATATTTTTTTTTTGGAAGGACCAAAGTTCGACCCCCCCTCGCCCATCCCCTCGCCCATAATATTTCCTAAAAACAATATATGCTTAGTAGGTACTTTATAAGCTTTATATTGAAGGCAGAGATTTTGGGGCCCTCCGTAATTGCGCTAAGGTTTTATTCAGGGCTCGGGACTTATAGCACTTAAAATCATTAAAATAAGCCTCAAATCAGCAATTAAAAAACTTAAATTTAAGAAAAAATATTTATTCAAATAAAAAAAAATCAAAATCAAAATACATTTTTATATTTATATTACAAAAAAAACTTAAACTTCACTTTCGAAACTTTAAGGATTTTACGGATTCCTATATGCATCCCTATAAAAAACAGCTGCAAGAAAAAACCATAAAAAAAGTAGAAAACTAGTCAAAAAAGTAAAAATAATCAGAAAAACTAGTTTTTAAAAAATCGACGAAAAGAGCAAAAAAAAGCACTTTCAAATGTTATAATTGAACGTGTTGTAACATCACATACACTTCCATAGCACTCTACGTCTCTACCTATCGGCTATCACTCTCTCTCTTTCATGCTACATTTTAAGTCAATCCATAGAAATAAGCAAATGCTGTAAGTCTCGAGCCTTAGTTATAACATAATCTCTGTTTGTTGTTAATTTAACTCAGAAATGTGTGTGTGTGTGTGTGTGTGCGAGCGCAGTTGGACGTGTCTTCATTTTGCCGTGTTTTCCGGGTTGCCCGTCCGGACACTGCAGATGATGTTGATGCAGACCTGCGGCCGGGAACTGATCGACTTCCGGACGTCCAACCAGGAAACGGCGCTGCACCTGGCCGCCAGGCGGGGCAACGAGGCGGCAGTGGTGGCGTTGCTTCAGGCCGGCGCCCGCGTGGACCTCCTCGACCACAAGTCCCGGACGCCGCTGCTGACCGCGCTGAAATGGCGGAAAAACGACTCCATGGTCAGGTTGATGATTTTGGCGGGCGCCAGCGTGAACCGTATGCCCGGTTCGTCCCGGGCCCCCCTTCACTTGGCCGTCGCCCGGAATAACGTGTTGCTGACGCGGCTCATGCTCGAACACGGCTGCGTCGTCGTGGATATGCACAACGACTGCTTGAACTGGACCGTCATCCATGCGGCCTGCGAGTCTGGTAAGTGGTTACCCTTTCCGCCCCCTCTGTGGGCTTTAAATCTTTTGAGGGGAGACGGTTATCCGATGAGATTACCATATTATTATCATTGATTATATATAATCAATGGTAATACCCACAGTCGTCCCGTATGCTGAAAACCTGTAGAATAAAATATTCCAAAAAGTAAACTTTTTTTTTTATCGTGTCCTAACCTATATCATAATATAATCGTTCGTCCTAGGTACGTGTAGAACTTTTTTTCGCATAAAACTATAGTAAACAGTATTGCATAACTCAGGGTTTTTGTAAATCGGTAATAGGGTAAGGCGATGTGCAGCAATTGAGTTGGTATGGTAAAATATTATTTTCACTTTATCACTTTATTTTCATGTTTAACGAGTGATCCGTATGTAATATCAATATGGTATTGTGGTAAACTATAAAATTATTAAGTTTAGTTAAATGTAAGTAATTTAGTCAACACTGACATGTATTTTGATCACAGGTTTTCAAAGAACATTCTATAGTCTCTACCTACATGAATTTGAAAATAGAAAAGTGATTTCTGAGTGACAATATATAATAAAATATTTATTTATATGAAAAAGGTGAATTATTTTACTTGCTTTATAATATTTATGAAATGCATTTTGGTCAAAAAATATACAGCCAAGTGATAATAGGATAAGTTTCATCTGTTTCACATATTATATGTATTCGTTGTTATTGCCCAAACAAAGATCATACTTGGCAAAAGTGTATAGATATCCACTTCTATAATTAGCACGCTTTTTCCGGAGGGTATCCGGGACATGGCCCTTTTTCACGGTTCAGTTAACACGTATATTTCTACAAATACGTTTTTAAACTCGGAAATTAAAAAATGTGGGAACCCCTATTCAAAAGCTGTTACAACTGGTTATCTTCAATATTCTTAAAACATTAATATGAACATTTTTTTAGGGTCATTTATTTATTTGTGGAGAACATATTTTTTATCAGCCGTACACACTCTCCGAGCAAATCTGTGCACGCCTATGTATAACCTCAGTGTTTTTTGCAGGGGACATGGATATGTTGAGGTGCCTGCTGGCGTACACAGAGCCCAACGTGCTGGACGTGCTGCACACCCGTGGCCGGTCGAGACTGCCGCTCATAGTGGCCGCTTCGCTGGGCCATCTTACGGCGGTGGACGCGCTTCTAGAGTACGGCGTGGACGTGAACGCGCGCTGCGGCAACGGCGAGACGGCGCTGCACGTGGCCGCCCGCGGTAACTGGCCGTCGGTGGTGGACCGTCTATTGGACGCGGGCGCTTGCGTAGACGCCCGGGACGCGAGGACCGGCCACCGGCCGCTGGACGTGGCCATGTGCACCTGGGGCCGCCACTCGACGGTCACCGTGCAGCTGATATCCGCTGTCCGGATGACCAAGGCAGTGGTGCGGCACGACACGGACACCGTCCTGTTCCTGCTGGAATGCGGCGTGACGCCGAACATGACCACCGAGGCGTACGGGACACCTCTGCACGTGGCCGTGCGGCACCGCCAGTACCGCATGATGGCCACCGTACTGACGTCGAACCGGTGCCGCGCGACCGTCCGCCATAACGGCGCCACGCCGCTCGACTACGCCATGGCCATGGGCGACGCCCGCGCCACTAAAATGATACTGTGCGGGCCCGGCCACTCCGCCGGATCAGACTTCCGGCCGTTCCTCCGGTGAACCAGACACTGACTTCGCCAAACGATGACCGAGTTTCTGTTGATGACGTCGACGACAACGGGGACTGTTATGTTTTTTGTTTTTACTGTTTTCGTTTTTTTTTTCAATCACTTACCTACTTTATTAATTGTTTTTATGTTTTTCACTATCTTAATGTTCTTAAGATAAACCAACGTATAGGCGACTTTTCGCCCGTTTTTTTAAAAATTGCTCTCATTATATCCCCCCCCCCCCCAAACACTAAGACTTAAACCGAAACAACTTTATAAGGATGTGTTGTTTTATTTCCGAAACTCACCTTTTACGATGTGTGCCTAACCCTGCTGTAATACAACTCCGGTCTAACTATATTGTATAATATTCCGCGTTTTATAACAACTACTAAGTTTTCATCGTTTTTTCTTTTTCATTTTCATTATTATTTCATTTAAAAGACGTATGTTTAGTGTTGACGATATAATATGTAACGAATACCCATTTACCTATATCTATGTATTACATTCAACGTTAAGAAAATTAAAAACTTATTTTTCTCCTAACAAATTTTGTACAACGATAAATAATATAGCTAAAATACATGTTAATAGTATAGTATACCTACTTGTCCTGCCTATGTGAGTATGTGACATTAAAACAAAAAACGAAACAAAATTGTGACTTATCTGTTTGTGATTTATTTATAGTATAATATAGATTATAAAATAACTTTTAAGTATAAATACTAGTGTACCTACACCTCTACGTGGGCCTTATACAATGTACCTAATATTGTTAATGTTTTTTATTTTGTTGTTGCCTTATGGCTGTTTACGTATATATAAAATATATGACTCGATCTAGTAAGTTAAAGTCATTTTTGAACAATTTCGTTGCGCGTTTTTATATTATTATAATAGCGCGTTACCCTTGCAATTAATGAGCGTTGACAATAATTATAATAAATAATGATGATACTGATACATAATCTCTTATGTCTACTTTAAAAATCACGCTTAGTTTGTTTTAAGACTCAAGTATTGGTAACTTTAATAACTTCTCCTTCAGATAATCGAATAACTTTAGTATTGGTAAGTATCTAACATGGAAATATGGAATTGGTACAATTTATTAAGGCAGCGTGGAGTATCAATATCTTTAAAAAAATATATAAAAATGCATTACATAGGTAGCATTATAATCAAGCCAATGCAATTCCATTCGGTACTCATTACCGAATATTATAATTAATTTAGATACTAGGCACTGTTTTGCAGTTACTATAAAATGTTTATCGTCGTTAAGTGTTATTACTGGCCAACGGCCAACACTGATTTTATAAGTTTACCATATTTCTATAAAAAAACGAGTCTTAGTTATGCAGATAGAAACACAACTGTAAAGAATGATTATTGATGATTATTGATTAGGCTTATTTGTAACAGATTACTTTAGATAGGAATTTACTTTCGCAATCGGTAAAACATTGCGGGTAATTATAATATTGTTGTTTTGGTCGTTCATTGGACATTTTGCACACTTGTAATCAAAAATAAATTTCTTTCCTGACTTCGATTATTGCAGTATCATTTAACGGAACAGGTACTTTAGGAAACCTTTTGTAAAAACGGTTAGTGTGATTATAAAGAAAAAACATTCAAAGGACCGTACTACAAATTAGAAAGAAGAATTAAGTATACGAAGTACTCGATTTTTTTTTTTAATTTTAATTTTAATTATGACGAAAATAAATATAATATTGATACATGTCTATTCGTCAAAATTATGAACATGGCCCGTACCGTACCATTCACATATTATATTAATATATGGACTTTGCCATGCTTAGGATGTTGTCGGCCAACATTATTAACATTTAAAAAGAGATAGTCAATTACCAGTACGTATTATGACGGCGAGTGATGGGACCTAAAGTACCCATGTTATCTTTTTCTGACAATGTTGGCTCTTCGTTATCATTTCGGACCTCTGAAGCGCATTTCTTCATTATAGGTCTTCATAGGTCTACGGCAATATTAGCTAATCTGCAGACCAGTTTTAATTTGGTGACATAACCATTGACCGGGTAAGTTCCAAACTACCGCGAAATCGTCGAGCAACGTGATTCGACGTTTGAGTGGGTCAGTCGGAGTTCAGTACCACTCTGTCGCAGTATTCGTTCGTGAAAAAACTGCGAATTAATTTTTGAACAGACTATACTATTATGGTCCTTTATATTATATTACAATATACGAGTGGGTTGACCAAATATCACGCTATAGCTATATATATATACCCCCCGCACACGCGTTTTACAGCATAATAATATACTCATTACGCAATATGTTTCCGGTTGACGTTTTCCGAATATTCGTGTACAGTTGACGAATAACGTCGAGCGCCGTGTGCATTATAATAATATATGTATATATATATATGAACTTGAGAAAAGGCCCCCCCCCGGGGGTTCAATTATATAAAACGGCATATCGCACATTGCAGTATAATATATATGATATAATGTATCCATATACTCGTATACACTTATATTGAACATTTATATATATATGTATAGTAATAGTATACACACGCGAGGTATGTCGTTACAAAATATCGTCGTATAATAACATAAAACGCGCACCGAACCGTTCTAAACCTCATTATCCGAAAACCGATTGAAAAGTCGATTCGAGTATATAGCTCCACGACGGCGGTAGGTATACGACTCTCACCCCAACCGTACAATGTATTAAAAAATGTAATACAGTACAGACGTGTAGTGTGTACTGCTATATATATATTATATATACGAGTATTTTATTTTACCATTGTGTTGTACGTATATTGCGGCAACACTGTACGTCATAATAGTAATGCGCGTTATTACTATCGGACATAATATTATTGTGATCTGGAGAATTTTCGCGAACGGCACAAATTTAGCACACAAATATTCGGAAGAAACCGCAGAAGCCCGTGTGCTCTGACTAGTATGCCGTTGAAGTCTGTTCGAAGCGAAGACGAAACCGAATGTTTCAAACACATCATGAACATAATATCGACTGAACGCAGAGAGAGAGAGAGAGAGAAGTTTGGGGGCCAACATTCAGTGTTGGCGTTTTATTACTAGCATGTAGTGCTCGTCAATTTTACCAATAAAATCTGTGCCCGGTTATTATGAAAAAAAATTGTTCTAAAACGTCTACAAGACTAAACCTAGCAGCTGCGGTATACGTTTACAATAAAATATACTGTGTACGATAATATAATAATATGATAATTCTAAAAACTACTCGAGAGTGCACACTGTTACACCAAACTTAGTTGTTTATTATAATTATATTTTCGGGGCCCTATACGGGCTATGATAATAGCACCTATCCTGTGTCCAACTACTCAGAGACGTATTCAGATGTCTGCACGTCAGTATTAATTTCTTTTTGCAACTCCTTCCCTTCTTTTGTATAATATATATGTTATGTCGATTTTGGACAGTAAAGTACATATTTTAGTCGTATCGTGTAATTTATTAGAGCGCTCAGTGGAGAAAAATCAACGACTATTTTTTTTAAAATTAGTATCGATAAGCTATAGTGAACAATTATACAACTTGGGTAAAAATATAATTTTATAAGTATAAATAAATTCAACGTTCGTCATTAATTTCTAATGATTAGAAAATATGCTACAACCATAATAAGGATCGAATTAATCATAATTTTATAATATGATATTAATATTTATAAGTATAAGCTCAACCGTGTCCATAAAAAAGTACCACCCGGGGTGGTCACCCTCCTAAACTCGTCTCCGATTATTATTATCATTAATATTACTGTTGTTGTTTAAATGGTACCCACTGGTGGTCTCTGTCCTGCAGAAATGATATCGTTCAGGACCAGACAGGACGGCTATTATTATATTAATTAATATGTATATTATTCTATACCTATTATAATACCTAATATATTTATACACCTAAAATAAATAACCTAAGCGGATCGACGGCGGTGAGCAGAGCGTACATCGATATTTTATGTACATAAATTGTATTCTTTCTGGTCGGAATATTTTGAACGCTTTATAAGCACTAAAATATGCCTGTTCGAGTTAGCTCTCCACGTTAGTCCTCGCTCATCTATACTTTGCAGTTGTCTATGCTTCCTACATTGATTACAAACAGTTATTACTATTTGTTTTCATGAATATTAAAAAAAACTCATTTTTTAAATGTCGATAAGAATTATTAAGAATATACTATATCGATGCACACGGCACAATAAGTAGGTATTACTGTATTAGCATTCAAATGGGAATAATATAACATACATTGTAGTTATGTGATTAACAAGCAACTCAGTGATACTTATTGTTTTTTTTTTTTCGTTTGAACCGACAGCAGAGGAGGATCTGTGTGAACTCATCTACTACTCCTCTGCAATGATACTCATTGTTACGATGGTAAAGTGTCCAAAAATATTAATAATTATATAAGAAGTTTTTGATGGCATCTGCAAACGACAGTGAAATATTTTGTGTACATACTATAGAGATAGATATTATACATTTATACTATAGGTATTCCAGAATCAAATACAATAATGTACTCCCGAGACATTATTATATAACCCGAGATCTAAGGGTCACCTCCTCTGCATTTTAAAATTGAATGTCTATAATTTAAAATATTAAAAAATAAATTGTGTGTGAAATAAAAATATGCACAAAACTTTTTTATGTAATTAAAGTTGAAAGATACAAATGAATTATATTTTATATTAAACAGAGAAAGCACACATATTGCGAGAGTCTTGTGCCTTCTCGGCGGAGTTTGCCACCCTCCCCCTCCCCCGAACTGAATGGTAATAACAAATTATCATAGATTACAACATAATAATACTATACTTAATAAATATATGGGTATTCCGGTATTCGTGATACATCATAATATAATTTTTGTATATAGGCACATTATACCAGCCACTTATATACTACTATATAAGCGCCGATTTGACAGTTTGATAACTTTGATTTATTATCGTTTAGGTCAAGTTCCCGAAGAATATAATACAGGTGTAATATTACGCACGCCCATATAATATATCCATAATATGCGTTGTATATACTCTCCGGCTCAATTTTCGCAGTCTAATGAAGTATTTAATAATATCCATGTGTAGTGTATGAAACTAAGACGTTTCCCCGCTAAACGGGACGATTCCTCCCTGGACAAAATATTGAAAATTAAACATTAATACGCAATCAAATCAATAAATTTACAGACGAGTAAATTAATAATATAATTAAATTAATTAATATCAATATATGTACAAGTATAAATAAATAAATAAAAGTACAATATAGCTACTGTTTAAGAGATTTTTCATTAAATAACAAATTGTTAGATTAATGTGTACGCATAAATAATTCAATGATACTTTTTACGTAACTTAAGTTTATCAATCATTACCCATTAAAGTGGGTAATAAATCCATAACGTGAATGATGACAGTCTACATAGATGATCATATTATACTTCGGGTTAAGAAAAGAACCTATTTTCCAATCTTTTGTTATGTGTATAAGAAATACATATAGATTCAGGGGGAAGTAATGTCTTAGTCCGGTGGGAGGGGGAAATGTCCAGTACCGCTAAAATCCTCGGGAAAAGGCACGGTGCGGGGGAGGGGGGTGGCTCGTCCAAATACCGTAGTAAGTGACATTATATTTTTTACATAGCAGCACCGTCTTCGTTAGTCGTTCACCTGATCGGCGAAAGATGATTTTTAGGTGCTGCTGTATCGCACGTACCTACGGTGTGTTTACTTTTAATATTATATTATTGCAGGTACTTACCTGGTTTTCTATGGCGACGATTAAAACGTTTA